AAAGGACTTCCATAGGTGGAAGTCACGAGAAAACTGTTAGAATAAAAATGGTGGTTGTATTTAATGAGTTCAACAATGAGACTGAGTAATCAATCTAGTAGCAGACTTAAATTCGTGTAGTCGGAACATCAGGGAGAAGGAAAAAAAAACCTCATCAGAACATTTGTCATAAAAAGGACAGAGAGTGAGAAGCCACGTTACGTCGGGGAGAAAGTGACTGAAGTCGAGATAACTGGTCAGAATCGATTATATTATAGACACTCCTTTGGATTTTTCACGAATTCCCAGATGTAAAGTAGGAGCACCAGACCAGATATGGCAACAGTATTCAATGCACAGACGAATTGTAGATTTATAAATATTCAAAATGAATTCTGGCAAGAAATTTACTGACACGACAAAAGTGAACTAACTTACCTAGCAGTAGACGAAGCAATTGATTCAATATAGACGCACCATTTCATTTCAGTAGAAAACATGTGGCCAAGAAGGCGTAGTGTGATGCTCTCCTGGAGTTTGGCATCAGCCATGATGATAATAGGCAGAAAAGATTCTCTGTGGTGATTCTTCTTTTTATATAAATAATGACCTACATTCATACTTATATAGTCATTCGGTTCACATATTTAACTCTGGAGGGGGAGTTCCCTCGTGTATATTAATAGCCATGCAACTCGCAAATGGATTATTTTTTTAAATTAAGAATTATGATTCTTCAGAGAATTCAAATAGAAGAACCGCTACATGTTACCAGGAACGACATGGAATTAAAAAATAATCATTTCCAAACATAATTCCCTATAGAAAAGCCGAAGAAAATAGTAGAGAACGTATTTCGATCGCCTTTTCCTTGAAAATCAAAGCAGCATTTGAAACTGTAGAAACAAACTTGAATTTAAACCCCTAATAATGGTGGTAACAAGAAAGACATTACCTCCAATTATAGCTGTTAGGCTAATTTAAAAAAAAAAGATTAACTATAATTAGTAAGATGACAATATTTTTCAGTAACTTTATTAAGATTGGTGTATTTGGAAAAATGTGACTGTTTCATAAAAACAACTGTTATCGAATGCATTCTTTAAATGACTGATTGAGACACACATTCAGTTGTGTTTTTGTACAATATCAACAAAAGAAAGTGAAATTTTCTCAATTAACTATCATAATCTACGATTGTTTAATGGTTTGACAATGGTTTAGGATTTCTCTCTTGACGAATATGAGTTTTATTGTTTTAGTGAAATCATAACACATATATAAGATGAGAGTACTTTTATTATACTACGCTTTTATTATTTTATTATAATAATGTGAATTAAGTTGTTTCATTAGAAAATAATTGTGTTGATAGATAGTTTCCTATGCTAACAACTTACCATAGACCACAAGTTTTAAGGTTTTTGCTAATAAAATGTGTCATTTTAGCATCGTCAGACCGAAGAATTCAGTCCACAATTGACATATAATCCTTAACCAAAGAGACTCTGAGAACAATCAAACATTCATAATCTAGATTCTTAAACAAAAATGGAGTAAATATGCTAGGTATGGAAATATTCCCTATACGATTTAATATAGGGCTAAATAACAATTTGCAGTCTCTGATAAAGAAAAAAAAATCCACCACACGACTCAAGACACAAATAGAGTCCAACCATCTGAATACAAATATTAGGTTTGTTCTGGGCTTAGTGGAATCTACAGACATGTCCTGATCAGATTCGGTGTGTTTAGGGTTTCAAGTATCTGATTTATGTCAGGTTACTCCTACTGGTACCATATAACCCAAAACTATCGCTATCATGTTCCATTAATAGGCAACAAAATGGTTTTACCCCACCAGACTTTTAAAGTGAAGAGGATGGCTGAAGACGAAGCAAAATTAAAAAAAAAAAAGATCACTATCAGTGGTCACCTGAAACGTCTTGTTTGGTCAAGTTCAGTCATCTAGCAAAATGGATTAGACAGAGATCATCGCTATATATGCAGTCATTGCGTTGTTGACACGTCATCACTGACTTGATGACGAGTCAAAAATTCTAGTTTTCCTAGACATAAATTAAAGATCAGTGAGAAGTGTTCCTCTGATGAAATCATATATATATCTCATAGCACACACACACTCAGATACATATATATATATATATATATATATATATATATATATATATTATATATATATATATATATATATATATATATATATATATATATATATACTGTAGTTAGTTCGTTTACCACACGTTTTTTATATATTGACCTTATTATTATATGACCTTACTAAGATGTTTTCTTTACATTACGATATATATATATATATATATATAAAAGAAATATGTCTTAGTGGTTCCAACGAGAGAAAATATTATTAAAAGAAGAGGTGCCGCAAACGTTTGAGACATTCTTTGTTTTAAAATAATCCGAATTTTCTTTCTGGAAAGAATTCAATTCAATTAATTTTCTTCAATTCTAGAAAGAAATTCTCAATTAAAGACATGAAAAACAGAATGTCTCATATCGAGAATTTTCTTTCTGAAATGAAGAAAATTAATTCAATTTCAATTATGAAAAAAATTCCACTTTCACCTGAAGACGGTTCAGACCAGAAACACGTGTCGTGAAATTATGTAAAAACAAAGTATAATATTTTTTCTCAATAATCCACATTACAACCAAAACGTTTGCAGTAGCCCCTTTCTTTTTAATATATATATATATATATATATATATATATATATATATATATATATATATATATATATATATATACCGTAATGTAGAAGAAAACAACTTTGTAAGGTCCTCTCTCTCTCTCTCTCTCTCTCTCTATAAATATATATATATATATATATATGTGTGTGTGTTTGTGTGTGTGTGTGATAAAATATAGTTTTAAGTTGTGTTATATTTATGGGTAAACGGATGGTGCGTATGCAAATATGGAAGTGGTCAACGAGATCAAGATCAATCAGTTACTGTTTCTATCATGCTTCAATGAATTCTTTAGGCCATGAGTGTTGCGTTTTAACGCGTCAATTTATATATGATGATCAGTGGTGCATTATGGGTAGTAATCTGTTGTAATATCCTGATGGTTATTGGTTGTGTGCTAGGATAGATGTTTTAAACTTATTTTAGGAGATGATAAATCTTAGATGTTTGTTAGAATCATTGAGTGATATGTACCGGTGAATTATGTTTAAATTGTTTTTTCCATCCTGCTTATAATTAGAGCGCATTTTCTTATGACAGAATAAGTAAATGATCTGTTTATTTTGTTTGCAATCAGTATGGAGTCTGGCGCCATTTTTTCTAAAATTCGATCCGGCTAATTGTATTTGTCCGTCAACAAGGTGGTTAGGGATATTATTGTTGTTTAAGATTATTTAATGTTACTAAGTTTAACTCATAGAACAATATGTACGAAAAAGAAATTACCTTGGCTCGATAAATGTCTTTTTTTATAACAGGTATTTTCTATCTGTGAGGACGTTTCTCCTGGTAGGGTTTTGGAAAAGGAGGTGGTAAAATTATGGTTATTGGCATCGATTAATACGTTAAGAATGGGATTTTATTGCTCATGTGGAGCACATATGCAAAGTGTAGGACCGAGTTATTATCGAAGGTTATTTTTAGTTTTCTTTTAATCTCTTCTAAGCTGTTTTCTAATATGAATACATCGTCAGTATGCCGTGCGTATATGGGGGCTTGGTGGTATTATTATTATCGTCATGACTCATGTAGAAATTAAATAGAGTCGTTCTAAGGGCCGAACATATGTGTATAAATGTTGCCATTTTCTTTCATGTACTGTGTCCATTCAGGACGTTGGTGATCATAGATCTCCACTTCATCCTGTACCTTGTAGCTCTCAACAAGTTTTGTCTTATTGTTTTTTCTCCCAGACCCTGTTCTTTCATCCATTTGCTTAAACCTGCTATGTCACGCGTTGATTTCCCTTGTCCCTCTTTCTCTATATTTGCCCTATGAGTATCAGTTTTCCAAGCCTTCCTTTCTCATTACTTGTCCCAGAAATTTCAGCTGCCTCTTCCTCTGATGTTAAGTATAAGTTTCCGCTGTGTTTGCATCCTCTCCAAAACGTCATTGTTTCATACATGTTCGGTCCATGCTATCCTTAGCATCATTCTGTAGAACTATACCTCAGTTACCTCGCGGCTCTTCATCTTTTAGGAAGCTGTCCAACATACGCTGCTGTAGAGGAGGACAAATATCACGTAGCAGTTTTGTACTGTTTTCTTTGTTACTAACGAAATCCTAATCTCTCCTAATCCGCTGCCTAGCTTTTTGGAATGCGTCTTTGGTCATCCCAGTACCTCCTCGGATCTCAGCGTCGCACTTAACCGTCCTCTGTCAGAACACTTCCTAGATATTTAAATGTCTACACCTGCTTGATTTTAGTGTCCTCGACTGGTAAATCGTATTTCGGGCTCCTCTTTTTGCTGATGACCATCCATTCTGTCTTGTAGTTTATGCTTAGTCCCTTCTTCTCGCTCTCCTTGGCTACCTTCTGTAGGAGGTTTTTGTAGTTCCCTTTCCGTGTCTACTATCAGCACTGTGTCATCTGCGTATCTTAAGATTATGGTCGCCAATGAGGAATCATGGTAGGATTCCCAGTTCTCTCAGAATTACCTTGCTGTATAGGTCCTTTGAGAAGACATTTACTTGCCTTACTTGCCTTTCTATTTTTGTACGTCTGCGGTTTGCTGACAGTATAGGTTTTTGGTTATTCTAATGTCTTTCCCGAATATGTCAAGTTTGCTGAGCTGCTCTATCAGATCTCTGTGTCGTAATTTGTCGAACACCTTTACGTAGTCTATAAAAGACAGATGCATGTTCTTCTGCATTTGTATTGCTTTTTCTGATAGTATTCTGAATATGAATATCGAGTTCCTTGTTCCGGTATCTTTGAAGAACCCGCACTGAACATAAAATGGTATTTTGTGTCAGGTTAGAGGAAGTTTTTGTAGGTTACACCGATGTGTTGTTTTCTATGCCTCCATTCTTCATCTCGTCGCTGCTTATCAAATATTCAGCAGTTTTCACTCTTAACTATAACAGATATCAGACTATTCCTCCTACTTTCTGTCTGTCTGTCTGTCTATTTGTTTTTGTCTCTGTCTCAGTGTGTGTCTGTCTATATCTATCTATCTATCTATCTATCTAGATATGTAAACCAACTGCTGTTTAGAAAGTAATATTCTGAGAAATGAAAGTTGTATTATCATTCATGACTGGTTTATTTCCAGTTCGTTGTGTGTTTCAGTTTGTTTGAAGATATGTTTGTCTACAGTGATTTGAACCGGCAACAAATTAAACTGGGTTTGATTTCGATATCGTAAACAAAATTCAGGAAAATCGAAATCAAGTAGAAGCTTTTGCAAATAAGCATCGCTATTTAGTTTTTACATTATTTTTCATTTTCATTTTCTTTCATATTGCGTTAGAAGTAATCAAGGAATTCTCCTGCCTTTCTTATCAGAATTCGCCATTTTCCAAGTCAATCAAGCAAACGCAAGTGTGAACAATTGCAGGGCTAATTAGCAACTCATTTTGGAATATTCCGAGCTACTCAGGAAATGGTTGCAAATGAGATTTCTGTGGGGCGAAGGAATACTGGTTAACTTTCTTTTCTAATTATTTTCTTTTATATCTTATATTTTTAGGAGGTTTGACATACCTTCCTTAAATTTCCAATCCATTGCGGACAGTAAATTTAGTTTAATTTTTATTTGTTTTCATTCTTCCAAATTATCTTTGCCAAAGTTTGTTTGTCGCTTGGTTGTTGAGGCACTTTGCCATATTTTTCTTTTATATGTAAAGAGAGAGAGAGAGAGAGAGAGAGAGAGAGAGTGGGGGAGAGAAAAGGGGAAGAAGAGGGGGATGGATAGAAAGAAGGAGGGTGAGAGAGTGGATGAGGAATAGGGGGTTTCGTTCAGTCTAGTACTGGTTATAGGCCCTTCTCAATATCAATCAAGAAATGGCGAATTGGCAGAGGATGTGAATTCAAATGTTCCTTTTCTTCAAATGGCTGTGCCGCGGGGGAAAATGAACACACTATGTGCCACTATTCTTTTCTTGAGGTTAAGGGAAGTATTCGCAAAATCTTTTGCCTATCTATCTATCTATCTATCTATCTATCTATCTATCTATCTATCTATCTATCTATCTGTCTGTTCATCTATCTATCTATCTATCTATCTATCTATCTATCTATCTATATATCTATCTATCTATGTCTGTTCTCTATCTATCTATCTATCTATCTATCTATCTATCTATCTATATCTATGTTCATATCTATCTATCTATCTCGGTTCTATCTCGGTTCATATCTACCTGTTCTATCTTCATATCTATCTATCTATGTCTGTTCATATCTATCTATCTATCTATCTATCTATCTATCTATCTATCTATATCTATCTGTTTTATCTATCTATCTATCAGTCTATTTTTATCTGTTTTATCTATCTATATATCTGTCTAAATTCCTCTGTAATCTATCTATCTACACAGAAACGCACACATAGAGTCTGAGGAAGATTTGTTCTTATAAGTCACTATTTAAATTTGTTCGATTTTCGATAAAGTGCCTAGAAGAAACGGTCTAAAAGTTTGTCAGATCTAACGACAGTTTCGCATGAGGAACGGAAGGCGCGTGTTTTTTCTTTAATAACATTTATGGAATTTTCAAGCCGGTAGACAAAAATAAATTAACTTCTCAATAAATAAATGGAACGTCTAAAAAATATGAACGGTAAAAAAGCCACTAAGACGCAGGGGTCTTCTAAGTGTGAGAGAATATGACAAAAAATACTATTAAGGAGAGGGATCTGTAAAAGAACAAGAATTAAAAAGACAATATAACGATTAACGTTGCATTTACATCTTTGAAGATTAAAGTGGACTGGGCAGCAATAAACCGGAAGAGAGTTGGAATAAATGGAACTATTAGCATTGAACTTCCGGTCACATCTAGCCATTTCAAATATAAACTGGTGAGACCTTTGCAGTCATCCAAGAACTGCGCTTAAATTTATAAAATCTAGGCACAATAGAGGAAAGTTCATCAGAATAATTGCCATGGGAATATTTATTGAAAAAGCACATAGAATCTACTTTAAGGCGGTAGGAAAATGACTGAAGCCTAAATGTTAGGCTAAGAGCAATAATCTTGCAGATTCTTTGTAATTTTTCAAGACTCTCTCTCTCTCTCTCTCTCTCTCTATATATATATATATATATATATATATATATATATATATATATATATATATATATATGGGAGCAATATTAAATGCATGGAAGTTAATTCAAAATGTTACATGGTAAGGAAAGTATTCTTTGGAATTTTAGATCTCAATATCAAAAGTTACATCATTAAGAGTAATGCAAAGCATATATTTAATCTTTGCAAATATCAAAGTAGGGTTAAGATAAGTTAGCATTTACTTTTACTGAATATGTTTGTCTGAATATGATAAATGTATTCTTTAGTATGGCGACTGTGCAACTATTCTTCATTTCTCCTGAAGGAATTTATTAAATAGGAATTACTACTGCATAGATACATTATATATATATATATATATATATATATATATATATATATATATATATATATATATATATATATATAGGTCAAGGTCTGGTCCCTCCTCCCCCAATACTAAGTATAAACTTGACCATGTCTCTCACACCACTCTTCGCTACCCTCTATGTTAAATTATATAAACATAATACTACCCGTCAAAAGTATGAATTTTCATTTCATCTTTCGTTTCATTTTTTGGTAGTGTTATCTGATGATCCAGCGTCCTTTAAAAGGGCTCTGGTGAAATAAAGTGGTCTGTTTTTCTTTATATATATATATATATATATATATATATATATATATGTGTGTGTGTGTGTGTGTGTGTGTGTGTGTGTGTTTGTGTGTGTGTGTAAAAATATATAGAAAATTGGAAAGAACTCGTTAGGTAAATAATCCAAAGTTCTTTAGTATTTTTTGTTATTATTTTTAAAAAAAATAGTGCTCGATACAAAAGTAGAGCATAAATATATTTATTTATTTAAAAATATGATTCCAACACGCTACATAAGAGTTCTCATGTTTTAAAACAAGAGCCGAAAACTTCAATATAATTATTTGAATTAAATTGAATTAAAGTAAGCTCTGTTCCATCTTCAAGCGAAATTTTTTTGGGAATAACTTATTGACGTGTTTTAATAGCATATTCATTATTGAAATCAAAATTTCTATGGTAACAGCTAGAGCGATTGTTAAATAAACAGGGGTGTAAGGTGTTAATAATTTGTATCAGTATAAAGTTACATTCACAGATGTCAAGCCAGGGTAAGGTTGGGGTGTCTAAATTTAAAACGGAAGATGATTTCGCCTAGTCTGGTTTACGGGTCTATGGAGATTTATTTATTTTTTTTATTTTATTTTTTTCTGATAGGGTTTTGTGTATATAAAAAAAAACTGCCGTAACATTTTTTTTTGACGACTTCATAAAGGGCTATCTTTTTTGTAGGGCATTTAAACTATTTATTAGGACTATGGATTTTAAAAATTATTTTATTGTTTGTTTGTTTTTATGCTAATTATTCAATGCAAAAATTTGATGATGTCGGCAAAAAACCGTTAACTCATGTCTATTGTTTAATAGATTTTTATTATTTCGAAACTTAATAATGTGTAGCTTTTCATGTAGGCAATATATATATATATATATATATATATATATATATATATATATATATATATATATATATCATAAATGCCTGATTCAGAAATATTATTGCTATTAGTGTTTGAGGATCTGAGTATGTCCATACAGGTTTTGAAAATGTTTTTGATTATTTTAGGGTTATTTAGCTGGGATAGTTTGTTCGTTATCAGTAGTATTATGCATCTATTTTCATATAATTTATTATTGCGAATTACGTTAATATTTTTGTTTAGGTTGGACATTTTGTATTTTGTAGATTTTGTATGCCTTTCTACTTGCATTGTGGATGAAATGGTAAGGTTATTGTAGGTTTTTGAATGTGTTTTCAATGTATGTTTCTTCTTTAGGGAAATATTGGCGACTGCAGATTCTTAAAGCTCGCAGACTCTAGTAATTCCAGATCTAATTTTATAAGAGTGGTTTTAAAAATAAATTTCCAAAACTGCTCCTCAAATATATTGGAGAAAGAAAAAGAAATAGAAATATATATCTATATCTATATCTATATCTATATATATATATATTAAGTAATTCATCGAGTCTAGAAGAAACCTCAACAGAATGCAAAAAGCACTGGACGGCCGTTTCGTCCTATATTTGGGACTCATTAGCAGTGCGCATACACTATCGAGAATTGAATCCGGACAACGTAATACAACGTAAGCGTACGTTGGATGAGTTACAGCACGAATTCGTTAAGAGGCCCGTTGATAAAGTTGGTATGATGCTTGCGTTCTATCGTTACGGTCCGTTTTCGATTCTTAGTAGTGGACGCGTACTGATGATGACTTCCAAATAAATGACGAAACCGCGGTTGATGTTGATATTTGTATATGTTTCATTGAAAAAATTATGTAAGTTTTGTGTACTTAAAATAATTAGAGAAAACTTGTAGAAATTATTCATTGAGTTAAAATACTGCCAAAATATATATATATATATATATATATATATATATATATTAGCTTTGCCCTCCATAGCCAAGTTATATTTTATTGAAAACGACGATAGAAAATATTATACAGATAGATAGATAGATAGATAGATAGATAGATAGATAGATAGTGATTTAGCGTGTCTTTGATGTGGCACAAGGCTTGAAGTATGGATTACTAAGTGAGGAGCGAGCTCACTACTCCGTCTTAATTTATCTAGGGAGAAATGCCTGCTAACCACTGTAACACGTTGAACTGCCCCCATTATAAGCATGTATGAGTATATGTATATATGTTGATTTTAAGCGTAGATTTGATGTGGCACAAGCTCTAAAATATGGGGCACCTAGTGCGGATTCAACTAATTACTTAGTCGTACTTGTTCTTGTGAGGTGCCCTAAGTAGGTATGTATGTGTATCTCGTGACTCCAAACGTCAGGTTAGTGGGTATCCATGTTTAATTTGAATAAAAAAATGCCAGTATCTGTGGCTGAGCTGTCTAATGTCCGCTGGATCAAACAGCGGTTCCTCCTACAATGGAGAACCCTTCCTTGAAGCAAGTATTTCCCACTGTTTTAAATGCGGGGCGTCTACTCAATAATGAGTTTCCACTAAAGTAAAATTTTAGAATAATGAGAAATAATTCACAATACCTTTAATTGATTTTCAGTGATATGGGAAAAGATATAATGTGTTTGAAAATACGCAAACAACTTAAAAAAATATTGATATTCACCTATATTTTGTTACCTGCAGGAAGAGAGTTTTTTTTTCAAATGTTCAATGAATTGTATTACTTTATTTTTTTAATATCTTCGCGTTCAATTAAAATCTTAATGAAAGTTTTTATCACTCTCCAAAAACCACACAGTAATTATTTTTTCAAATCATTTAATCGTGAATAATAATAATAATAATAATAATGATATTCGGTTTACATTTTTTTTAATTAGTGAACTAAAAACATTATCATACAAGCTTCCATCTTTTTCTCGTTACTGCTTCGCGCTTTTTTCCCTTTTCTCTTCCTTCCACTGAATCAACTTTCTTTATCGTCTTTCGTTCTCATTCTTTCATTCATTATATTTTTCTTTCTTTTTGTAATTCTCTTTTTTTTAAAAAATCTCGTTGTCTGTGTTTTATTCTTTTTATATTCTCTTTTTTCTTCTTTTCTTCTCCCTATATCCTTATTCTTCTATTCATATCGTTTTGTCGTGTGCTCAATTCTACCTGAACATCTCTACACTGTCTTAATGAGAGAAATCTCTCTGAAGCCTCCTCATATACTTCACTTCTCTTATCCAGCATTTAGCATTCAGTTGCTTCTTTTAATTCGAAGCATGAAATCCTAACTTGTCGTTATTTTCTTTCTTTTATTCCTCTCTCATCCATTCATCGTCGGTAAAACTTTTAGTTATTAATTTTAGTCCTCTTTACTTTGAATAAAGATATATCGATATAACATTTTATATATATGTATTGGGAAAATTGTACAACAAAATTGGAAAAAAGCTTACTTGTGATGCGTTTCGTCATTCAGGGGTGTTGGAAATCTTTTAAAATTTCAAGAAATAAAATTTTCAAAATCTTATTGAATTGGAACATTAACAAACAACATTTAAAATATGATTTGCACCATTTGAGATGCAAAGGTTGATGTGCTTTACAAGATGTGAACTCAATGCAATAACACCACATTGCTGTCAATTTTAGCACATTCACTCTTTATGCGTTCAATCAAGTGTGTTGCATCTGTGAATTACATTGAGTACACCTTCTCCTTTAGTAGACAACAGAAAAAGAAGCCAAGCCTTTTTTCTTTCGACAAAATCATGTTTAATCTGTGGAGGTAAAAACGATATAGTTAATTAGACTTCCTATGTGTCCAAACTTTAGGGATAGCCTGTATATACTGTACCTACTTGTTTTTGTTGTTGTTGTTGTTATTATTATTATTTTAATTGATAATTTACTTTTTTATTTAATTAATTAGAAAACTTCACTTCTTTCACGACTGCAGCTTCTGCTTCTACTTATTTCTCCCCTCCTCCTCCTCATCATCATCATTCTTCTTCTTCTTCTTCTTCTTCTTCTTCTTCTTGTCCCATTTTAGTCTCCATTTGCATCTTCATTTTCATTCTCTTTCATTTTTCTTTTACCTTCACATTCTTTTTCTCATTTTTTCTTCTCAAATTCATTTTTTATACGGTGGAGTAATGGATAGCGGCTCGGATTGAGGAATCGGAAGAGTCGAGTTCGAAATTCAGTCGGATTCATTGAATTCACTTACGTGCTAATACGCTTCCGAAAGGTATGAATCCTCTTCTTTTCTCCCCGGCTATGGGTAAATAGCAGGACAGGCCTTTGATGGCAACTGGTCTACCGCAGAAAGAAATGGCAACCTACTGCGGAAAAAAAAATCTGCCTCGTCCGTCATGAATCGAAAGATACATGATCTCCTTAGCGTGTATTACGCATAGCATATAAATGACTCTTTTTAATGAGTTTAATCTCTTATTCATCATTTTCATTTCTTCTTTCTTCAACTTTCTGATTTTTCAGCTTCCAACGCTTTATCTTAATTTTTCCTTCATTTTGTGAACACCGGAGTTTTTTTTCCTTTCCTGTATCTATTATTACACCACCATCAGTCTGTTTATCTTGACCTTTCCTTATTTTTCTTTCTTTTCTTTTTTTTCTGTTATTCTTCATTTTCCTTCCGTAATTCGGTAGCATTTTCGTTCCCACCTCATTTCATTCCTTTGCATTCTGTTCCTTGATTTTTCTTTCTCTTTTTCTATTTCGTCTTCTTTTCTTTGCCTTTCTTCTTGTTCTTTTTATCTTCTGCCCCTTTCATTTTTCTAATCATTGTTTTCTTCTCTCATTTTTCTTTCGTCTTCCTTTTTTTCGTTGACGCTTTTTTCTCCTTTTCTTTTTTTTTCTATATCTTCTATTTCTATAGCTTTTTGGTCTTTTTTATTTTTCTGTAAATTTTCATTTTCCTCTTTTTTTCTTCTTGGTTTATTTCTCTTCTATCTTATTCTCTCCCTTTTCTTACGTCTTAAGGCTTTTTCATCGTGCGCTGATTTTACCGCTTCTTTTCAATTGATTTATTTCATCGATTCTCACTCCACCCATTCCTCGCCATTCTCTTCAGTCCTTGCTTCTGTTTTAGTTTCCTTTTTAAATATTCATTTACTCTTTTGTTGCATTCAATTTTCCATTTTGTTTTTTTAGGCTTTGATGTCGTTGTTTCTGTAATCATTTGAAATATCTATTTTCTTCGACATTTTTCTTTTTCTCTTTTCGCCATTCCTTCTTCGTATTCTTCTTAATTTTACTTAATATCTTTCTTCCTATGTTCTTTCTTTTTATTGCTTTCATTGCTTTTTTACGTTATTTTTTTTATTATTATTCTTTAGACGTTATTATATATTTTTATTTTATTGTATAATCATTTTCTTCTGTTCATTCATTCTTCCTTTCTTTCTTTCTTTTTTCGTTCGTTCACTCGTTCTTTCTCTCCCTCTTTCATTCTTTTTATACTTGTTTGTTGTTCTTACTTTCAATGTTTCTTTCTTCTTGTTTTTCTTTCTTTTTTGTTCGTATTTTCCTTTAGTTCTCATTCAGTGTTTCATTCTTTCTTTCCTTCCTTCTTTTTTTTTCTTCCGTTGGTTTTGTCTTTCCTTACTTTGTTTTATTTTTTGCTTCTAAATTCTTATTTTCTTTTTCTCATTTTTCATGCATTACATTTCTTTTTCATTTTCTCTTTCTTAATTCACATTTATCCCATTCAGTTCCATTTCTTTCTTTCTTTCTTTCTTTCTTTCTTTCTTTCTTTCTTTCTTTCTCCTTACCCTTTAATTTGCTTATTTTAATCTCGTCTCACAGCCTTATTCATAGACTCAATCTTCTTCGTTTTTATTTTTCATTCTCACATTTTTCTTTCATTCTTTTCTTCCTATATCTAATATTTGTTTTCTCATATCTCCCCGCAGCCATTTGTCTTTACTTCTTTCTCTTCCCTCGGATCTTTCTTGATCGAGTCATTCTACTTTCAATTCTTCATCCTCATTGCTAACATTCGACATCAGTGTCTTTCACCCCCACTTTGTGTATCGTTTAAGTGGTCATACTCTCTATGTAGGACTCTCTGAAATAATTCATTTGATTGCCTGATGTCCATCCTTCGCCATTTTTAAGTATGCATACGCGCGTACACCCATAAAACAAGTATTCCATGAATCAAAGCATTTAAAATTTCAAAATTTTAAATTTGAGTTCCGAAATATAAGACTAAATGTTTCAGATGCTTAATAAATATTATTCTTAACGATTGCCTGGTGTTCTTTTATCGCTATATTTTTTTCTTTTCCTTTTGAAAATTTGCATTTAAAATCTTTAAACGCGATTTATTTTTTCTTCATCGAAATTTAAATATTTAAAAAGATCACGTTCTTGGTTAATCACACTTTGCACTTTGAATGGTTTCAATTTGTGAAATTTCAGAAATTTCAAATAAAAAAACATTAAAAGAAAATGTTTGAATTTTGGAATTTTCGCTTGCCTAAAATGAGGTTTGCCGCTCTTTTTCACTTGGTTATATTTTCATTACCAGTGTAAATTGCGTTGCAAACTAACGAGCAGTTTACAACCCTCAAAAATTAGATTGCTTTAAATTATTCAAGGTTAGTTTCTTTCAATGCGTCATTATCATCCTTCTTATTATCTCCTTGGATTTCTCTTATATACATATATCCTTCTGGATGCCAACCAGAGATATAAGGTCAGAAATAGCCTATTGACATTCGCCACATATGCTGTATTCAATCTCCTTCGGTGACTTCTATCTATTTGCATGGATCTTTTTTTAAATTCCCTAATCTTTGTGAAAACACATCTAGATCTGTTTGTGTGTTTTTGAAATTCTCCCTTTCTTGAATGTTACCATCGCACTTTTATGCCATTATATTATTAATATTATTTTCATTTCTTGGGGCTTCTGTTGTATACACATTTACTTTCAGATCCCAGCCAGAGACCTAAGGTTAAAAATGTCTTCATGATATTTTCTAGTATTAATTTATGTAAAAAAATAAGATCACACACATTTTGCATAGATAAAGCTCTTCGTATTATGTTACTTGTATATAAGAGTACATTTTTTTTGTATTTCTTTAAAGCATGGGCTACCAGGAATACCTTCACTTCGTCTATCGGTATTTTTTCTAGTCCATGTAATGGCTCCAACTGCAACTGGAATTATTCATGTCCTCATGGACCATATTTTTGAGATATCTACTTCAAGAACAAGTTCTTTGGTCCTTTCATTTCGTCCCTTATTTTTCTAATTGCCTGCTTAGCGAGGTTGATGGTTTCCTCCACTTGAAGTTTCTTTCTTACTTTTGGAATAGTTGGCTTTTCCTCGAAATTAATTTCCTTTATATTCTCCCACTTATAACGAATGCTTTTTGTCACGTGTGTATCTTTCCCATATTCGTCATTTTCTTCCTCCATTTGCTTGTGTACTTCAAGGGCTCATTACAACTAGATTCTAGTTTCCTTGGATATTTTCGAAGTCTATCTAAGGTATTCTTCTTTTTCCGGTTCATGTCACGCCTGACATAGGCTAGTTTTTTGGTATCGATGTTTAGTCTGTTTCGGGGATATTTTTTTCTCTAGATATTATAGGCGGCTTTGGTTGATGTTGTCGTTGTTGGATTTATAGTAACAAAGTAAAATGCAATCATTACTTCAATATAGTTTTCCCTATATCATTTATTTATTGTTCTTTTTGTGGGATTCTCTTTTAATGAATATAGAGGACCTCTGTGAGGACCATCCTTGGCGTGGTTTTCCTCTAGTTCTCGTTGGGTAGAGTTTGTTCGAGTTGCAGAATTTTCGATTCCAGTCTGGTTCCTCACTGGGTAGGAGCGGTCCTTGTTGGCCAACGTGACGATAGATGCGGTTTAACAATATTTTTTCTTTGTGTCAGTATTATAATTAGTTCGTATTTAAACCATGCGGGTTGGGGGGGGCTGTTTCGTGGGAGTCAGCGCATATCCATACCATAGTGGGCTATCAGGTTTTTTTTTTAGTATTTTTATTGTTAACAACAACGATCAATTCTTCATTTATAAGCGTTTGGATCTCAAGGAGACATGACGTACATCACGAGACTTCAGCATAACTTCAGTATTCAACGGAATTTTCTTTGGCTTTTTTTCTTTTTCTCTTATGTTCAATAATACGAAATTATATTCCAATCTACTTAATCCTGTTTCTACACGAATATATTTTACCCATAAATACATTTAATATATAGATACTATTAATATTTAAAGAAAAGTATAAGTGTTTGTATTGCATGGCTTATGAAATAAAAAATATATATATATCTATATGTAAATTACTTATAATTTATTATCAAGGGTGAGGATAGTAATCCGAATTTTATTATTATTATTATTATTATTATTATTATTATTACACCAACACTAGAAGAATAGAACAATCTTTCATGAAGTATATCTATTTGATGCTTTGGCGCACGTTATCATTGATGTATTTAGATGAGGATCGTTAAGAGGTTTCGGATCTTACAATATCTTACTCCCTCACAATGGAGACCCAATCAATACTGATAGCATATCCGTCGGAAATAACTCCTCTCATAGTGTAAATCTGTCTTCACCGACTGTGGCTCCTCAGGACAATATTTTCAAATTACGAGCTACTTACTGGTAACTTCTCTCTTCCGTAAATACAGAATACAAAGAAAATGTTCATTTTCTTAGTAAATATGACAACAGTTTTGATTTTTCGAATATGACCTGTGGACAAATATATTGGCTTCACACGACCTCTTGCTGAAAATCAGATTCGATTTCAGTTCACCAGGTGGAATGTTTGTTCTTGTGAAACTGAACAGCACAACGCGTATAGTTTGAACTGACTGCTTTTATTTTACTTAGTACGAAATTCTACTAACTACTTGTTAACAAATGAGATAGTTCGGTTTTTTTTCTCAAGAACCGGTTCCTAAACTAACTCAAATAGTCCCGAACTGCCTCGATTTGAGTTTATTATTATTAACATATTCTTTCATTTCTGTAGTATACACATTTCCTTACGGTTCCCAACAAGTTACCTAAGGTCAGAACAACATTCACATGAACATTTCATCATGACATCTTTCACAGAAGAATTTTGCATATATATATATATATATATATATATATATATATATATATATTAGCCACACGCTTTACAAAAATAAAGTTCTTTACAAGGTGTGAGGTGTACTTGTGAGAACATTTTTTTAAATATTTCATTAAAGGTTGTCAAGGATCCTATCAATGAAGATATCAGCACGTTTTCCAGTCAAAACGTGGACTCCAACCAGAACTGGAATTATTGATGTCTTCATGTTTCATCTTTTTGAGTCAAAGTCAATATCCTTGTATTTTGAAATATATTTAAGATCTTCAAGATGCATTACAGTCTACAGGATCTGCCATGTCAATAAGAAAGCACGTCTTTCTGCTTTTGTGTTCTTTGATCACCATGTCAGGTAGATGAGCTTTAATTGTTCTGTCTTTGCCTGTTGTAAAGTCTCATAAAATTGTTATAGGCCCCATGTCTCTAATCAGGATTGGTTGGTTCTCATACCAATTTACTTCCCGTAAAATTTGTAGATAGTCCAGTGGCCACACATTCATGCCATGTTTTATATTCGGTGGAGTCTAATACTGTGAAACCTGGCACAAATTGGTCAATTCTTTCTGGATATTCATCACAATATCTGCATTTCACGTTAACACAATTTATCACCATGTTTCATAATTTCTAGTAAGTAAGTATTGGTAATGTGCAGTAAGAATAAAAGCCTTGGTTTCAGTTTTTATTCCCGCACTAAGCAACATCTGAGGGGAATGGAGTTTGTCTGCATCACCTTGTCAGAGTGAGAGTATTGACAATGAAGATGTTTATCTTCCCATCGTTTCTACATTTGGTCGATTTCATTTTGCTTTTGACATTTTTTACGCTCTTTGAAGCTGCAGCAGGTGTCCTATAGTTTACTCGTTCTGCGTCATCCAAGCAAACTTTTCTTTTGAATTTGGTGGCTTTATTAATTACTGAATAAAGCTTCTTATTTCTTTTATGTTCTTTTCGAAAGATCATCATCTAATCTTCTGTAGTTTGTAGATGTCTTTGAAGGCCGATTCTTCTAGATGTGTAATGCAGTCCGAGTTGAACTAAATCTCTGCCCCTTTCGAATCTGAGAACATACAGATGATCAACATATGCCCTAGGATGATTCATGCAGATCCTAATGAGAAGGTTTCTCGTTTTAACATTCATTCGCTTAATGGGAGTTATGGTCCAATTAAGGATGTTCGAATTGTATTGCCCTACCGCGACAGCCAAAATATTTATGGGTGATACTCTGTTTTGTGAAATCAACTCGGTATTTAACATCAGACGCGCACGCCTCTAGTACTCTTTCCGTACTGTCAACTATATTTGGGTATACTGTATTCAATCTCCTCCGCTGATTGCTAGGTATTTATAGGATTATTCTTGTACCAGTTTCTTAATACTTGTCATAAAATCTAGATCTATTCAGTGTCTTTCGGCAATTGTCCCTTTCTTGAATCTTACTTACACACACACACACACACACACACACACACACACACACACACACACACATATATATATATATATATATATATATATATAATTTTTTTAATTATTATTTATTTCTGGGATCTCTGTTGTATACAAATTTTGCTTTTTCCCGGGTCCCAACCAGAGACCTAAGGTCAGAAATGACTCCATGATACTTTTCTCTGATTATTTTCGTTAAAAAATAAAACAAACAAACAAACAAAAAAAAGATCACACACATTCTCCATCGATAAATCTCTTCGTAATGTCCGAGCTGTAAATGTGAATACAGTTTTTTTTGCATTTGTTTAAGGTATAAACTAACAGGAATCCATTTATTGATTTTATCGGAATATTTTCCAATTAATGCGAGGACTACAACTACTACTGGAATTAATGATATACTTA